TTTTCAAAACACAGTGGGGAATATTGACTGTGTCATAAGCATTTTTGCTTCATGGATATGAGAAGCTAGGAATGTTTGGTGTGATGAGGCTATTTTATTTGAAATTGAACAGACTGATTTTTTTGAGATACGGTCTCACTGTGAAACCATGGCTGATCTAAAATTCACTATGAACTGTGTGGGCCAGGAAGGTCCTGAATTCAGAGATCTGCCTGCTTCTGCCTCCCAAGTGTGGGGATTTAAGTCATGAGCCACCATGACAAGATTGGTGCTATCTAACTGATATTTTATAAACAAATAAACACATAAGGCAGACATATACATGAGTCATGGAAGATAATATAAAGCTATTTTTTTATTTCAACTATGTCATGGTTTTCTTTCTACCTTCGAGAGAGAGAGAGAGAGGGAGAGAGAGAGAGGGGGGGGGGAAAAGAGAGAGGGAGAGAGAGAGAGAAAGAGAGAGAGAGAGAGAGAGAGAGAGAGAGAGAGAGAGAGATTATGCAGGATAAGTGAAAAAAGATAATTGATAGTAAAATTTTAAAATCTTAGTTGAAGCTTCAAGGGTTCAGCATGCCCATTTTTACTATATAGAAGGTTCCTGAGATGGATAGAGTTTGAGACTGAACAGATGAATGCCTAAAAGGCTTCCTTAATCTGTCTGTGTTATATCTTCATTGGTGAGCTCATTACAATCAAGTGATTTATTTAATTAGAAATCAGGATTTGTTTCAACATACAAATTTAATAAAGAGATTTAGTAGCTCAAGAAAGTATTTCCTCTGTATGCTACTAATTTATGGAAAATGAATCTTACCCTGAATGCTTTATAGTTTAATACAAATTAAAAAGACAAAAAGACAGTAAAGAGGGAGAAAAGAAAGAAAGGAACTAAAATTTAGATAATAGTTTACCTAATCATGTGAATCCTGTAAGCAGTTTCCCTTGTATTGATTGGTTGAGGTATACATCATTCAGAGTCTCATTTCAACATTTTTCTGAGTGCAGGTTTCTTTTACGAATATATGTTTGTAATGAGTAATTTGAAGAATATACGGAATAATCAGCTGTTTGTAATTTTATAATATAAAGGTTGTTGATAATCACTTTCTCCCCTTCAAATTGTCTTAGTGCAATTGCTTCCAAGCCCTTCTTGAAAATGCACATCATATCATTTGTTTAGAATGGCAATGAGAAATTAAATTAGGTTTGGTGAAGGTTTTTCTAAACAAATTTTTCCTTACTCTATTTTTGTATTCCATTAATTATTTCTTCTTTGAACAATTAGGGAAGCTATTAAAATATGTGACTTTGAGTCATGGCTAAGTCTTCTTCTGACAAATAATGCAGAAAGTATTTCAACAAATGTTATTTATTTGAGGCATAGCCAGAGACACCTGATCTTAACAAGTATATGAGCTGTTCCAAAATATTTAATGTGTGCTTTGGGGGTAAAACATTTCAAGTACAACACTGTCTTAAGATTGATGACAATATGTAATATAATAATATACTGATTATCAGATTATCATTTTAACATGTGGTCAATTTTTAAAATGATCTTTTTTAATTCTGTGTTGTGCCCTGGACATAAATCATTTAAATTTCTACCTGGCATGAAGGAAACATTTTGATAAGCAGGTTTATAAGAATCATAATTTTCAGCCGGGCGTTGGTGGCGCCTGCCTTTAATCCCAGCACTCAAGAAGCAGTGGCAGGAGGATCTCTGTGAGTTCTCGGCCATCCTGGATTCCGGAGTGAGTGCCAGGATAGGCTCCAAAGCTACACAGTGAAACACTGTCTCAAAAAAAAAAAAACAAAAACAAAAAAAAAAACAAAAAACAAAAAAAGAATCGTAATTTTCCCAGTATCAACTTGAGGAATGCTTTAACAATATAATTGATTGTCATCACAGACAAAAGATAAGAAAACCTGGGTCGCTGAGTACAATTCTACTCTGTCTCCAGAGGAGGCAATAGGACTCTGATAGGTGTATGGAAGTTGTAGATGGAGCAGTAGCAATGATTATCCACTAGGATGTTGTGTCAAAAAGAAGTCTTTTAATGTTCAAGTAGGGTTCTTCTATATGTTCCATAAGATTTTCAAGGAAAACTATTTCCCTGTCAAGGAGAGACTGGTAAGTGTCCAGTACTCATCATTTCTTTTCCACCAGAGAAATGAAGTGAAAAAAAAAAAAAAAAAACATAGCTTAAAAGAATAGTAGTCAGTGGTAAAACAAGAATAACCTGAGAAGATAAAATGTGAAAATAGGGTTCAGAATGTCAGAAAGAGAGAGGACTACACTTCAGGTAAATGATTGCTGTCTTCTCAAGTCTACATCTGCACCATTGCTTATCTGACACCTCTCTACAAAGACCATTTTCCTTGTGGGTATGTTTCTGTTGCATTATTGCAGCTATTCTCAGGTTCTATATTATCTTCTATATGAGTGTCTCTCAAGGCTTCTAATCTATGACCATAGAAAAGAACACATTACTAAAATGAAAATACTGCCCAAAACAAATTTTATTTATATAAGTTAGAACATACTGACATGGGCTGCAACAATTAAGGATATTCTGTTTCTCTGGAAAATTAATCTGTCAATTTCATCAAAAATAAAAAAACTATTAAATGCAAAATTATTCATTGAAAATATAAATTATACTTAAAATTTTAAGGTTAACATACTTTGTGTAGGTTGGAGCTCTATATATCACTAAAATCAAATCGTAACACAGTAAAATTAAAGTAATAAAATAACAGCATAATTAAAACAAGGCTTGCATAGTGTGCCGGCAAGCAACAGTGAGGCATTTGGAGAGAAAAGAAAATGCATCTCACAGAATTGGTCCATTTAGGTGTAATGTCTACATAAAATCTTGTTATATTCTGAATGCTTTTCTGAAGTATGTAAGAAATGTGAACTCTCTCCACCTTCTCTCAAGAACTACAAGAAACATGAATTGCACGCCATCATGAAATTCACAATGGGATTTTCTTTAACAAGTTGAAATCACAAGCAATGTTTTCAATTCATCAGAAAGTTTTGTATTTAAAAATGACTGGTAAGTTAATGCTCTTATTTCTCATTATATACTTCTCTAAATGAGGTCTTGTAATATTTGGTTCTAGAGTGTGAATTTGAAGCACTTTCAGTACAACAGCCACACTAAATGGCCTTCTTGAATTTTCTATCACATGTGAGTTCTCACTGCTACGTGTATGGGACATCGTTTTGTTCAATGATTTTTCTTAGCCATGTCTTTACATAACTGTGTCAGACTACATCTGACCATAGTCTTTATGGATCTTGTGGTTTCCTATAAACTGGGTAGTTGCTCAAAAGACAAGGTATGCTTGTTTACAAGCAGGTCAATAAAATACAGATTCATTCTTTAATGCCAAGCAATGAAACTCAAGGTCACCTGGAAGATAAGACTTACACATTTTGCAAAAGGGTTTGAAATATAATATCAGATAAGATGCTTCTAAAATAATAAAGTGCCATTATTAACCATTGAATGAAAATAAAGAGGGAGTTATATCTTCATTTAATCACATTTTACAATAAGACAAATTGAAAATCATATTTTGAATAGTATTCAAATATGCCTCAATAACTGATATCAACCAATAATAATGATGAATGGGATAATCAGAACGTAATCAGCAATTCACATCCCATAAACATTTTGGAATTACTAATAAATTCGTAACAGAAATGTGATGGTATTTCTTGTAAAATCTATTTTATTGGATTAAAAATAAATAAGCACTACCAAAATGAGTATTACTGATTTTGATAATTATCGTTTTTTTGTCCCCGGCAAAGTCAGGACACTTTAGTAATATTACAATGTTTTCACCATTTCTCAGAAATAATGATGGAAATTTGCATTCACTGCCTCACTTCGGAAAAAGGAAACCCTCTGAGAGTGAGCTAGGTGACTGGGTATAGAATTGACTGAACAACAACAATTTTTTAGCAAAGTTTCCAGAGAAAGAGAATCTTTGATGGTAGCTGTCTTATTTTTTTGGATTGTTTGGAATAATAGCTAAATAAATTTCTTTATTAATACATTTGATAGTTGTTTTTGATTCAAGTTTGAAATTGAAGGAAATTTAGTATGTAACCATTTTGTTAGTTAATATCCCATAGATTCCTTTGGGTTTATATAAAATTGAAGTTCAAAATTGTGAATCTAAATTAAATAAAATATTTCTATAAAGCATGTGGATCTCACTCACACCACCAAAAGCCTTAAGAAAAAAGAGAATGGTATCTTCAGGTCAGAATTCCCCAGTAGACTCTCTCTCTCTCTCTCTCTCTCTCTCTCTCTCTCTCTCTCCTTTCTCACTCTCCCCTCTCTAACAAAAGCAAATAGATAGTAATTGACAGATAGGTTAGATATCCCTCTAATTCTATTCTCAGCACACCATGCCTAAACCATCTAGATGGAAATCAATCAATCTATTACTAAAAACAAGAAAATTATGGCAGTGATTTTTTATATAATCTTATAATTTCTTTGTTTCTTTCTCACTTTTGAACTGATTTTTCCATTTCCAATAGGTGTGCCAAAATTAAAAAATAGGATTTCATGCAATATTTCAAACATCTTTTGTTTTATCATGATAATCCTCTCATTGCAACTCTCATTATCAGGGGAGGGCATTTAAGGTAGCCTCTCCAATGTTGCTTAGATGGTTAGTTGGTGTCATGCTTGTAGATCTCTAAACATTTCCCTAGTGTCTGATTTCTCTTTAAACCTATACTGGCTCCCTTTCTGATGGTATCTCTTATTTTGCTCTCCTCTCTTATTCCCCCTACACAACCTTCCTGCTCCCTGTGGGTTTTTTCTTATATGATCAGGCCTCATGTGGCCTGCTGGCCCAAAAGACCTAGCACTGGAAGCTGAGGGGTGAAGGACTATAGGGGAGGTGAGGCTGGGGGTTCGGGGTCAGGTTTAGGGATACCATACGTCCTGCTGTATGCCCTACTGATGATGAGGTGACCACTGCACAGTCTGAGTTCTGGGAACCATGTTATGGAGTGTCCTGAAGAAAAAAAAAGAAGAAACAAGGAAAAATAATAATTTAAAAGTAAACATAAATAGATGAGATGTGTGCACCTACAGAAGTTTTGTTAACCTTAGGGTTTTAAGAGATAGTCTAAGACGTAGGGGAAAACCAAATACTACCATTATGCTAATGTAACTAAATGAACAAATTCACTTCTAGTGACATTCTTACATACTCATACATCAGTATCTTTCTCAACCATCATCAGAGAAGATTCCTCCTAAAGCCTGTATAGGTTGGGCCTGACTGGGTCCCAGCTCTGAGGTTGGAAGTAGATACAAGCCAAAATCCCTAACTCAGAAGCTATTCTCTATTGATAACCTTCTTAAATGAAAAATTAATGTTATTCTGTGGAGCCCCACTGGGTATATACCAGGAAGGAAAGGGAGTGGGGTAAGGGGGAAGGAGAAAGGCAGAGAACATAGACATGCCTACCTCTTTAGAGGAACAGTGGGAAAGAGTTATAAACCATTTTTAATGCCAGGACCCATGCCCAGCAGTAGATGGCCAACACAAAAGGCATTCAATGTTACTTTTGGAAGTTTTGTTTTGTCTCATAATATTTGATCTGCATTTTTTCTTTTGTTTCTTACCTTACAGGTCTTTAGCTTATATATTATGTTTTCTAATTTTGTGTTTTTAAGGGTTTTCTACATGTTGAATGTGTGTGTGTCTATGTTTAAGGAAGTGAGAAATATATCAAAGACGTTGATTGGCTATATGGAGAAGTGAGGAAGATTTGTAAGGAGTTGGGGGAGGGGTGCCATAATAAAAATACATTTTATAAAAAATGTATTTTCAAGAAAAAAAGAGCAATTTGTATTTTGCAATGCTATATAATCTTATATTCAATTGTCATTTATTGTATTTAGAAGAATAAAAATAATATCCAAGTTTCAAGGGAGCAGAATGTTCCCACAAATATCAACTTTCCCAGTAGTTCCTGGAAATAATAGGATAGAGCATCTTCATTTTGTTGTTTTCCTTTTTATTACACTTTAAACACAGTGATGTGTGACTGGGAATTCTGTCATATTATCCAGAAAAAAAAACAGAGCAAATGAGAACATTTACAGAGTGAGGGGAAAGGATAACAGTGTTTGTATTACAAACCAAATGTGGCGAGCAAAGCTAGGGGTAAACAGATAAATAGTTTACCCCAGGGATAAATCCAAAGACGCGTGAAAATTTATAAAAGAAAAACACATACAAATATATTTGCCTATTTCTCAAATCTTTGTGTATACCATAGATGCTTGTATACATTTTTAAACTGAGATGGCAAAAGTGCTCTATCATTTCCCTCAACTTGATTATTCCACCTCTTTATGACTCTCAAACACAAAAATAAAAACCCAAAACATTACGACAAAATCCTTGGTTCCTAACAAGACAAGGATAAAAATGTGATTTTTTTAATTAGAACTTTAAGGACATATTCTGAGTTTTGTAAAGAAAAGTTACTTTTCTTCATATTTGTAATTTTCAATGCAATTTATGTTACTGACAAATGGAGAAGAGTCCAGTTAAAGGAAAGTGCAATAGGAAATGTATACAGATGAATATCGCAACACATTTTCTTATTACATGGTGTCATAGTTTTCAATACATTTAAAATAAATGAGCTCCTCACTATGTGAATGGATTCATATTAATCTTTATTTGAACTTAAAACATTTGCCTTTTAAATTTTCATGTAACCTCAGAATATAATATCTCTACCATCACTTACTTAGACTTGAATCGTGTAAGGATGTTATATTTAATTTTACATAAATTCAACTTTTATTTTGAGAATATAAATATGAATACATTGTATTTTCATAACCATCTCCCCTTCCTCACCACCCCAACCTTTCCCTTGAACGCATCCACATTGCCCCCTTTCAAATTCATGTCCTCTTATATATGTATAATATATATGTATTTACATATATATTATATAGAGAGAGATAAAATGTTAGAATGGGTTTACATGTATATATGCGCATGTGTGTACAATATAAATACATATAATATATTCTATTATGGATATATAGAATACATTATTATATACGTAATAATATATTACATAATACTACTGGTCCAATTAGTTAAATTAGTGTTGTATGCTTGAACAAAGGTGTAGGGCTGATCACTGGGGCTTGGGCGGCAGCATACCAGAGGACTCCTCTATTAAGAAAACTAATTCTGCCACTCCCCTCTGTAGTCAACTGCCTGTAGTGTCTCAACCAGATGTCACAATCTTGTAAGTGCTTCCTTAATCAGTTCTAGAATTTTAGGCTGGAGTGCTCTTGTGAAGGTAAACCTAGCTGTTTAATGGTTATGGTTCAAGACATTTGTCATGTCCAAATTTGACTATTTTTTGCTATCCTTCTTGTCCTCTGGCTCTTACAATCTTTTCACACTTTTTTTGATGGGGGGAGTTTGAGGCAGGGTTTCCACTGTGTAGCCTTGACTGTCCTGGAGCTCACTCTGTAGACCAGGCTGGTCTCGAACTCACAGAGTTCTGCCTGCCTCTGCATCCTGAGTGCTGGGATTAAAGGTGTGTGCCCCCGAAGCCTGGCCTTTTCACACCTCTTACATTAAATTCCCTGGGCTTTTGGTATAAGAGTTACATTGTACACATCACATTTGGGGAGTGGCAATACTCATTGTCTACTTGTTGACTACTTGTGAGTCTCTGTCATGTTACTGTGAAACTAAGTTTCTTTCATGGGACTTATCCCAGTACTGGTGCTTTGGATATTACTGTGCATTCAAGTTCCTAGGTGATCAATGATTATTTGAAAAATTACTACAAATGGGTGTTTAGAACCATGGTACTTAGTGCCTCACAGGTGTCGGGGTTGAAGTCACAGATCAAGGTCTCCTGAGCTCTTTAATATGAAATCCTGCCTGCATCTCTCTCTTCTCCTGCATCACTTTATCTCCTCTTCCAGATTTACCTGGATTCACCCTGTTTGTTTGTGTCGATGTCCAAATTACTTTGTGTAGCAAGAGATCTAACTCAGCAGCTGTGGTGCTGACCACCCCCGTTTGGGCATGGTCACCAGTGTCTATGGGAGGGGAGGATTTAAGTTGTCTCTGGGAGGCCAGTGGTCTCTTCTTGGGGGCGGCTGGCCTGGACACAGAGGACAGCATGTGAGGATCCTTGGAGCTGGAACCTGGGGCAGCTACCTGCCTCTCATGTAAGTGTTCTCTCTCGGAATAAACCTTTTAACCTGTACTGGGTCTAGAGAATCTTGATTCCCACGTGTGAGAACTCCCTTGGAATTAAATCAATCATATAGACTCAGGTACCTATGATCATTTCATCTTCACTACTTAAATGTAAGACAACTGTTCTTGTACAAGATCACAATTTGAAATAAATGGGATTACAACTTTAGCATTTAAACTTATGGTAATAAAGTTCACTCCCCACAGAACAGAACACATTCTCTTCCTGATTGAGTCACAATTTTGGATCACTTTTCTTGCCACTCAAATAAAATTCAAACTCTTAATATATCCAAAAGAAAAGGGATTAGTTTGACCCACAGTTATATATTCAGTCTTCTATCACCAATTTCCTTGTAAGTTATCAGATCTTTAATGCATCTAAAAGTGTGGTCTCAGCCTCAGATTAGCTTCACACTCCTTGAATTTTCCATCCAGGTCACTCTCACTGCTACCAGCTCCTTGTTTAGCTGATGCTATTTTTCCTCTAGGCATAAGAAAAATCTTCTCTTCGGGCATATGTTCTGTGTGCTTTTAACCCTGGGAGGAGTAACAGGGTCCTTCTATAAATGTATTCCAATTGTTTTCCATCTTCCCTTACAAGATTGTATCTGTTTGCTCACCATGATGCTTTGATTGCATGGTAACATCTCATTGGTCATTTGCTGAGGCTCAGAATTCAAATCTACAAGACCTTTAGTAAAATCTACAAGAACTTTATAAACCTTGAAATTAGGGTTTCTACAATAGAGTTGGTCAATGAGATACAAATCCTAACAGTGATACAATCACACCATGGATGCTTCTCCCTTTAGTTAAATATTCTTTCTTTTTTTAATTCCAAGAAAATAGCAAGATTTCAAAGCCAATTTCCCTAGTTTCTCAGAAAAGAATAAACCACCAATGCAGCATCAAACCCTATGCTCAACAACAGTGACCTTCCTGTAAGATATTTTGGTACAATAGTGGCAAAAACATTGTGGAAATAACTACTTTTTGATTGGAGTTAAGGCCCTTTCCCTAAGAAGGGACCCATGTCTGACACTGCTCCAGTAGCCAAAATTCTAAGACTAATTGGCCTAGGGGAAAAACCAAATAATACTATCCTGCTAAAGGAACATAGCAATCAAATGACTCTTAATGACACTATGGTATACCCATAGGTAAGTGCCTCACTCAGCCATCATGAGAGACACTTCCTCTTTCACTAGATAGGAGCTAACACGGAGATCCACATCTGGATAAAGTGCAGAGAGTAAGACTTTGAAACACTCAATCCAAAATGGATGTCTTAATCATATCCCTCACTTCAGGGCTCAGAAAGTTCTGTAGGAGAAGAGGTACAAAGATTGTTATAGTGAACAAGCAGTGTCCTATTGATATAATAACACTGACACACATAAATTCAGAGAAATGTGGCAGAATGAAGGGGACATTCATAGGTCCAGGAGGTAGAGAGCTCAGAGCTCGGATGAGGAAGCTGACAGGAGCTCCCACCTCTAATTCAGAAGCTAACTCCAACTAATATCCACTTGCAAAGGAAAACTAGTTTTCTAAAATGGAATATCCCTGAGTATATTAACTACTCTTAAGGATAGGCCCTATACCCAGCAATAGACAACCAACACAAAATGAACTCAATGGTATTTTTATGACATTTAATCTTACATTGCTTTGGGGGGGCAATTTTTGTCTTACTCCTTTTTTGCTTTTATGTTATAGTTTTTGATTTTGTTTTTTGTACAGACCCTGACAAATCTCACAACAGTTCCCTGA